TGCGCTTGGGTAGTGGCTTCTGTGGGGGGAGAGACGAAGAGTGAGCAACGCAGGTGTCTAGCCACCAGCACCCCACCACCCGCCCCGGAGAACCCAGGCGTCCAGGCGACGTACCTCTCGCTTGTCCCGGGGGCTGGTGCTGCGGCCCCTCCGGGCCGGCTCAGGGGTGGTCGACCGCTCCCTCTCAGCAGGGGGCTTGGAGGCGCCCTCGGTCTCCCCCCGGCGCCGTGAGGGGGCTGGGGGGGTCTCACTCCGCCGGGCTGGGGCCCCCCGTTTCTGGGCCGTGGTGCTTCGGGACCTGGCAATGGGCACAACAGAGTCAAGTCGGGGGCAAAACACCACTGGGACCTGCTTTCTGGTCCCCACCTCTGTGGTACTGTCCTGCCTGGGGGAGTTGCCCCTCACTCCTACCTGCTGCGGGAGGTATCCGAGGAGTCGGAGGAGTCGGGCGAAGACGAGCGTTCCCGACGGCCCTTCTGTGATTCGCTGGTGGACCTGGGGGTCAACAAGCAAGGGAAATTAGTGGGAGAGGAGAACAATTAGTGGAATACAAGAGCAATTAAATCAGTGGGGCAATAAGAGAAGATGGCTCTATTGGGAGGGGAAGAACGAAGGGGCATGGGGAAGTGATCCCTCCCCTGAGAGAACCCAGGTGTCCGGGCTCCCAGCCTTCTTGCTGGGAGGTGGGGCTTCAGTGAGGGGCAGGGCCTTGCCAAGTCTCTCCCCCCACAGCCCCCCCAAGGGGCTCTCAAAGAGACTCTACCCCCAAACTTATCCTACTGCCTCTACCCATATTCCTATGAGTCCTTCCATCTGCCCCATGCCCTGGCTCCACCCCTAACCTGCAAACTCTGCCCCCCAAGTCCCCCTACCCCCTTTTCCCTTACCCCATGCCCTTCCCACTTTTCACAGGGAACCCAGGCATCCGGGCTCCTTTCTCCCCCTCCCGAGCCCCCATTCCTTCCCCAGGGAACCCAGGCATCTGGGGCCCCACCCCTTACCTCTTCCTCTTCTTCTCCTTGGACTTGCGCTTGCTCTTGGGGCTTGGGGACCTGAGGCAAAAGGAGTCATGTGATACCCCCTAGTCCCTCACGCCCCCCGCCCCACCCCCAGGGCAGTGGGAGGACAGGGCAGGGCCTGGAGGACTCTGCGAGGGGAAGACCATAGAGATGTCGGAAGGAAGAGACACCAGAGCATCCCCAATGCCTATAGGACTGGGCAGAGCTGTGGAGCCCCCCAGGTGTGGAGAAGGGAGCTGCCCTCTTGCTCCAGTGCTGCCACTCCCAGCCAATGCTCTTGCTCCCCTGCCTGCCACCCAGAGTGTCCAGGCTCCTAGCCCCCCTGGTCTCATCCCACCCCCCCAACTGCCTTCCTGGAGGACTCCGACCCAAGCTACTGCCCCAAAGCCCCTCCCAGACCAATGTTGCTGCCCCATGGTGACCCCCTCACCTAATTCTCCTGCCCCCCAGGACCCCAGAACTTTTGCCTCTCCCCACCAGCCAGGTCTCCTGCCACCCCCCCACCCAGGACTCTTGCCCTCCCCAGCCCCCTCCCTCTGGCTGGGACTGCTGCCCACCCTGGACTCACCTGTGTTTCCTCTTCTTCGACTCTGATTCTGATCTGTGGAGAGAGGACAGGAGTCACCGTTGCACTGGGGGGCCTGTAGCTCAGCCCTGGCCCCCCAATGGTACACCCCTGGGTGGGCAGAGGGGCAGGGTGACCCCCTGCCCCTCCAAACCCCGCCACCATCCCAAGAGGCTCTCACCGGTGTTTCTTCTTCTTGGAGCTTTTCTTCCTCTCTCGGCGTGAGGGCGACCGGCTCTCTGACCTAGCAGCAACAGGGGGAGGACACGATGAAAACCCAAGGATCCAGGCCCCCTACTCTCCCACCCCAGAGAACCCAGGTGTCCAGGTACCCACCTCCCTCTGTCTTTCTTCTTTTTCTTCTTCTTTTGCTTGGGGGATGGAGACCGGGAGCTGCTGGACTCTCGCACCAGGCTGGGGTGGGGGGAGAGAGAGAGAGTCCATCATGGGACCCAGGCATCTGGGACACGCACCCAGAGAACCCAGGCATCTGGGTCACACAAAGGCACAACCCCCAACCCCGTCCCAACAAAGAACCCAGGTGTCCGGTGCAAATGCAAACACATACAATCTAAGTTTCCAGGCCCCCCCACCAAAACCCCCCATCCCAAAGAGAACCCAGGTGTGCAGCACACCCCCAGGTACCTGTGGGGCGGGACGGGGTCAGGCGGACGGGGAGCAGGGCGTGCCCGGCGCTGGGGGTCAAAGGAGCTGCCGTCCACGTAGGAGTCGCTGATGCCGAAGGCGGCGCGGAGTCGCTCGTTCTTGCGCTCCGTTGCCTCGGCTAGCTGGTGGGTCTCCGTCACCCTGCAGGAGGGGGGGCAGGGGGGTTGGATCCAAGCTCCCGGCACCCATTACTGTCGTCCCCCAGCCCAGAGGACCCAGGTGTCCAGGCTCCCAGATTCCCCCAACCTGCTTTAAACCCCTCCAGTGTCATGGGATGATTGGAAGCAAGGAGCACTGCTCACCGGGGGGGCTGTGGGTCAGGAGTTGGGGCAAGGGGCACCACGGGAGGGGGATGCAGGTCAGGAGCGAGGGGCACTGCTGTGGAGGGGGTTGCTGTTGGTTGGGAGGGAGGGGCACCACTGGAGGGAGCTGCAGATCAGGAGTGAGGGGCATTGCTGATGGGGGGGGGGGGGGTGCTGTGGATAAGGAGTGAGGGGCACTGCCATGAGGGGTCAGAGATCGGGGGTCACTCACGTGGGGCGCCCCTCAGGGTTGGCGATGTCCTTGCCCCCAATGTCCTTCTCCAGCAGCATGAGGCGGAAGGTGGCCACCTTCTCCTGGATCTCCCCCTCCGTGTACCTGGGGACGGGGCTTCAGTGGGGGACGGGGCCTCGCCAACCCCCCCATGACTCCACCCCCAAGCCTAAGCCCCACCTCCAAACCTACTTCATTGCCTCTGTATATGTTCCTGTGACTCCCACCTGCCCTGTGCCCTGGCTCTGCCCCTTGACCTGCAAACTCCACCCCTAACGGCCCCAACAGCCCCAGACACCCCTATAAGCATCTCCGCTACCCCGTGCCCTGGCTCGCCCCAACCCTGCCCCAGAAGTCTCAAACTTAATATGCCTTGCCCACTTACGCAGTGCCCCTGGCTCTGCCCCCAAGCCCCGCCCCTAGCCCTGTTCCAAATGCCCCAGAAAGGTCCCTATGCGCTTCCTAGCTGACCAAGGCCCTGGCTCCACCCCTACTACCAGGCTCCACCCCCAACCCCACTTCAGCAGCCTGAGAGCTCCACATAACTTTCCTAGCTACCCCAT